ACTTTCGTTTACCTTTTGGGCCACCCTGCCTCGGTGGAATTACGCTGGTATATATTTATATATATATAATATATATATATATATATATTATATATATATATATATATATATATATATATAATTTTATTTTTTTTCTACAGTTATTTTTCATTAAGGAAGGAATTTGAGATATCCAGCTCATCTTTGGGTTCCATTCCTCACACCATTCCTTACGTTGACCCTATATTGTAAATAAAATACATTAAATGTTTACTCTTCTATCAACTACTTGTGATATGGCAAGCTCGCAAAAAAACATGAAACAATGGTAAATGTGAAGGTGTTATAGAGAACATGAAGAGGGAGAAGTTACCTCTAATTCCTTGGATCAAGATCCCCTTAGCAGCGTCAGGCAAGTGTACAAGTCGGGCGAGGTGGAGGAAGGTTGGCGTCTATTTCTGTTGGTCGGGCAACCCAGTGCCACCGCTAGCAGTGCCAGTGTAGCAGTGAGTGTGCCAGGGGCACCCAGTGCCACCGCTAGCAGTGCCAGTGTAGCAGTGAGAGTGCCTGATGCTCGTAGTGTAACCCCCTGCAGCGCCAGAGGCAAGAGGTTCATGTACATGTGGCATTGTGGAGCCACCAGCAGGAGTGCCTAGCCACCAGCAGGAGTGCCTAGCCATCAGTAGGATTTCCTGGCATCAGTAGGAGTGCTTAGGTCCTAAAAGGAGTGTCTACCACCAGCAGGAGTGCCTAGCCATCAACAGGAGTGCCTAGCCACCAGGAGAAGTTTCTAGCCACCAGCAGGAGTTTCTAGCCACCAGGAGGAGTGCCTAGCCACCAGGAGTAGTACCTAGCTACCAGCAGGAGTGCCTAGCCATCAGCAGGAGTGCCTACCCACCAGCAGGACTATGTCTGTAGAGGCCCGACCAGCCGACGTGGCATCCGACACAGCATTGTTCCTCCGACCTGTTCTCACGCACCTCCTCTCACCAGCCGGCAACCTCACTCTAGTAAGTCAGTCCTACTCTTCGTCATTCGTGTGCAGACTTCCTTTCAAACCTAAACCCTTCCCTACCTCAACCTTCCTGTGGGTTCTAACCCCCTCCATCAATCCCTTTTCATGAGGGGTTTAACTTCCTTTGCTTTTTCCTCGGAGGTTTAACTCCCTTTCTTTCTTCCTAGGGAGTTCAATCCCCTTTTCTTCATGCTAGGGGATTTGGGCCTCCCGCCTTGTCCCCAAAAGATGATAAAAATAAGTGGGTGTTTTTAAGCGTCCGTGGCCTGAAAGTGTGAGACGAGTGTATTGTGTACTCAGTTGCGGCGGCTGAGTAGCTTTACTCCTAGCTCTGGCTGCCACACTTTCTGATAGTCGATTACTTCTTCGGCTCTACTACGTACGAGTACTATATATATATTATAATATATATATATTATATATATATATATATATTATATATATTATATATATATATATATATATGAGTAAGTCAGGAGAATCTGAGTTAGAACTAAGGAAGGGGTGGCAATAATGCTGAAGGATCAGTTATGGAAAGAGAAGAGGGAATATAAATGTATAAATTCAAGGATAATGTGGATTAAAATAAGGGTCGGATGCAAAAAGTGGATCATAATAAGCGTGTATGCACCTGGAGAAGAGAGGAGTGTAGAGGAGAGAGATTTTTGGAGATGTTTAGTATGTTGGAACATTTGAACTAAGTGAGAGAGTAATTGTGGTATGGGACCTAAGTGCTAAAGTAGGAGAAACGTTTAGAGTGGGTGTGGCAGGTAAGTTTGGGGTGCCAGGTGTAAATGAAAATAGGGAGCCCTTGACTGAATTTTGTATACAAAGGGGTATGGTTATAGGTAATACATATTTTAAGAAAAAGAGGATAAGTATACAAGATATGATGTAGGGCGTAATGACAGTAGTTTGTTGGATTACGTATTGGTAGATAAAAGACTGGTGAGTAGATTTCAAGATGTACACATTTATAGTGGGGCCACATATATATTAGATCACTTTTTAGTTGTAGCTACAGAGAGAGCAGAAGGTAGATGGGATACAAAAAAATAGAAGCAGCAAGGAAGTGAGAGGTGAAGGTTTATAAATTAAAGGAGGAGGCAGTCAGGGTAAGATATGAACAACTATTGGAGGATAGATGGGCTAGTGAGAGTATAGGCAATGGGGTTAGAGATGTGTGGGGTAAGTTTGAAAATGTAGTGTTAAAGCGTTCAGTAGAAGTTTGTGACTATAGGAAAGTGGGTGCGGGAGGGAAGAAGATCGATTGGGGGAATAATGATGTAAAGAGAGTAGTAAGAGACAAAATGTTAGCATATGAGAGTGGTGAAGCGATGTAAAAAGAGAGCAAGTGAGAGAGTTGGCGACATGTTATCAACAAATTTTGTTTAATGTAAGAAAAAGTTTTGGAGAGAGATTAATAAATTGAGGAAGCCTAGGGAAAGAATGGATTTGATAGTTAAAAATAGGAGAGGAGAGTTAGTAAATGGAGAGTTAGAGGTATCAGGAAGATGGAGGGAATATTTTGAGGAATTGTTAAATGTTGATGAAGACAGGAAAACTGCGGTTTCGTGTATATCACAAGGAGGAATAACATCTTGTAGGAGTAAGGAAGAGCCAATTGTGAATGTGGGGGGGGGGGAAGTTTGTGAGGCAGTGGGTAGAATGAAAGGGGGGTAAAACAGCTGTGATTGATGGGATAAAGATAGAAATGTTGAAAGGTGGGGATATAGTTTTGGGGTGGTTAGTGCTTCTATTTAATAAATGTATGGAAGAGGGCAAAGTACCTAGAGACTGGCAGAGAGCGTGCATAGTTAATTTGTGTTAAAGGCAAAGGGGACAAAAGTAAAAATTGTAAGGGAATAAGTCTGGTAAAGTGTATGGTAGAGTTATTATTGAAAGAATGAAGACTAAGACGGAGTGGGATAGTAGATGAACAAGGAGGCTTTAGGAAAGGTAGGAGGTGTGTAGACCAAGTGTTTACAGTGAAGCATATAGGTGAACAATATTTAGATAAGGATAAAGAGGTTTTTGTGGCATTTATGGATTTGGAAAAGTCGAATGATAGGGTGGATAGGGGGCAATGTGGCAGATGTTGCAAATGTATTTAATAGGAGGTAGGTTATGGAAAGCAGTGAAGAGTTTTTACGAGTATAGGGAGAGAGGGAAATTATTTCCAAGTAATAGTAGGCCTTAGACAGGGATGTGTGATGTCACCATGGTTGTTCAATATATTTATAAATGGAACTGTAAGAGAAGTGAATGTTCGGGTGTTGGCAAGAGGTGTGACAACTCTCACACAAAGTGAGGGTTGTCACAATTACTCTCTGCTGATGACAATGTGCTTTTCGGAGATTCTGAAGAGAAGTTGTAGAGGTTGGTGGATAAGTTTGGTAGGGTATGTACAAGAAGGAAATTAAAAGCGAATATAGGAAAGAGTAAGGTGATGAGCATAAAAAAAAAAACATAACGAATGATTGGATATCAGATTGGAGGTAGAGAGTATGGTGGAGGTGAATGTATGCTACCTTGCCACAAACGCCGATATCACTGGTTTAGAAAGACACATGAGTAAACATTAGCACATATTCACTTCTTACATAGAGAAGTTAAGAAAGACAGTATATATAGGCGGAGAGTAAGGTCTGACTGACATATGGTGACTGACTTCCATATTGGGATGAGGACAGGTAGACAATAGTTTTATGTGACTCCTTCGTTGTTAGGTATGTGGTGTTTTGTCTGTTTGAGTATCATGTATGCTAATGTTTTTGAAATATTGTAGTTTCCAGTATTATGTTCTATGGTGTCGGTGACGGCGACTAGCGAGGTTTCCAGACACAGCGTCTTAGATCTTTATTCTGTGAGGACGAGCTGTGCCTTATCCCAATTGTCGGTATTTATTACCAAGGTTAATTCCATCACTGATTGAACACCATCCACGAGTGAACTTGCAAATGTTGCTTTCCCTATAGATAAATGCACCCTACTGCACTCTACGTATCATTCCTGGCCTGAAATTACTTGTCAGGCCAGAAACTGATGACTACCCTTAACAACCATTCATTGTCAACACAACCTTACGGAAAAGTTCCACATATTTTGTTCTTAATTAGGTCTTCTCCTGTCTCATTCCTGGTAAACAGAACCTCTCTCCCATGCTTCCTAATATCACTTGCTTCAGTGCTAAGACAGGTAACAGGTTTCCTCTCATTAGCAATCACGATGTTCCTAAATCTGTTATCTACACCCTCTTCCTAGCATCATTGCAATAAGGCCTATCCATAAATCTAATCTGAGTGTTAGTATAGGGATATATCCCTTCTGTCAGGTTAAGTGTATTAAAAAACATCCACACTGATTTCTGGGGTGGGTCTTTTTTAATTTTTTTCCTTCTCAAAACATACTTCTTGCCATCTCTTCATGTGTAATGTTCATTAAATATTCCTCGATCCACTGTATCACTGAACCTTCCATTTCCTCTTGCTCATCTAATATGCAGATCAACCTTCTTTCATACAGTCCGGCACCGCAGTCGACTGACCCCCGTCTTCAGTGATCTCCATAATTCAGTCACAAAACACCTGCAGGTTCGTAAGAGAAGACTTCCCATCTCTAAATTCGTGCTGATTTTCTGCAAATCCCACCTCTCTGGGCGCTCAACAACATCTTACCAATTATCCATTCCAATACTTTGGACAGTTAGTGATACTGATCTGTAATTTAGTGCCACATACCTGCTCTCCTGCTTCAATGTCGCTACCACATTTCTGATGTCCGGAAGGTGTGTAGGTTAGTTGTGTGTGTGTGTGTGTGTGTGTGTGTGTGTGTGTGTGTGTGTGTGTGTGTGTGTGTGTGTGTGTGTGTGTGCGCGCGCGCTCACGAATCTGTACTCACCTACTTTCATTTGCAGTGTTCGATACTCAGCTCCTGCCCCCGTATCGTACTTTCATAGGCATCACCGATTTCGAAGCTCCTGGGCCTTATATCTACTCTTGAAGCTGTGTATTGAGTTTGCCTCAACCAAATCATTCCACATTTTAACCATCCTGTTATTAAAGAAATATATCATTAATCCTTATGATTCTTCTGTGTTTTCATTTGCTACCTTTGTCCCTTTTTATCGTGTTCTTCTCAGTTCGTAAAGTTCGTCTGTCTGTGCTGAAGGCGAATGCGGCGATAACGGAGAATAACAGAGAAGTTTGACTCACGAAATCGTAATGACACGATTGCAAAACAAACCATACCACGGGTGGGGATTGAACTCGTGGCGAGTGAGTCGTAAAACTCTAAGCCAGCGCATAAGCCACTGGGCCAGCTGGCTTCAGTAAGATTCATCCACGTATATCTATACACCATAGGAAGGTTAGTAGAGAGACCATTGTGACCACAAATGCAAGTTTTTACAGAGGAATCTCCGCCAACATGGCCGTGGCGAACTCTAGCTCTAGTTCCCTCAAAGCCGCCATCATGACTTGCGAAATCGTAATGACACAATTGCAAACTTGCATTTATGGTCACAGTGGGACCTGTGCTAACCTCTCTATGGTATATAAATACACATAGTATGACGATTCTTATTGTAGCCAGCTGGCCCAGGGGGTAACGCGCTGGCCTGGAGTTTTGCAACTCAAACGCCACGAGTTCAATCCCCACCCATGGTGTGCCTTTTTTTTTTTTTTTTTTTTTTTTTTTTTTTTTTTTTTTTTTTTTTTTTTGAGAAGTATGGGATTCCAAGAAGCAGCAGACCATACTGAATAACTTTGTGCATATTTAATGTTAAAAAATTACCATCTTATGCAGCTATAGTGCCAATGTTTCGTTTATTTGCATCAAAACAACCGATAGCATAAATACTTGAGAAAAATAGGAATTTGGATCACAATGTCTCCACTTTTCCTTCTCTCTGCCAAGGTCGTCAGGTTCAGTTCCTACTTCTCCTCCTAGTGTGTTCCTCTAAGTTCTGGTATGTGTTAGCAATGTGTGTGTGTA